CCAACACCCCGGGTTGCCTAGATACCTCTTCTAAGTTTTGCAATAGTTCCGGTCATGTGACTTCTTTGTTCAATACTGTATATATAAATATCTGTGTCAGTGTAAATTACTTGTGACTGATGATGACAAAACCTTGTCGAAACGTTGTACATTTGCTGTTATGTTAAACTTATATTAAAGTTTTTATTCATTACCCATTCAAGCCGTCTCCAACCTTTGATTGTTTCTTTGTAATTAAGCACAAAGCTACATAATGGGCTATCTGTGCTCTGCCCACCACGGGGTATCGAAACCCGGATTCTAACGTTGTAAGTCCGCAGACATACCGTTGTGACACTGGGGGGGGGGAGCTTTATTTATTGACATTAATAACACTGAGATTTATTTTTATATCATTTATTAACATTTGTATCAAGTCCTGTCCAGGCACAGGTTTACCAACTGTATTTATTTTTGTAAGTGATACAATTTGTATTCCAGTTGTTTGAAAGTCTGATTTTGGATTTCTGTTGTTATTACATTTTAATAAATTGCTTGTTTTTTTTGTTCTATTCTGATTGTAGCAGCATTTTGCTGTAGTGTATTACAAGCTAGTTTTGTATTTTAGTGTATTTATAAAAATGTTAAAAATACGACTTTAGATAATTTGAACATTTTGGATATGTAGGAGGGCACACAATTTCAGCTCAAAAGAAGCTGTATACAGTTTAGTATAAAGTTTTCCATAGGTTACATTTTTATGGTTCAATTACAATACTACAGTGATACACAACCTTATAGATACAGTGATACACAACCATATAGATACAGTGATACACAACCATAATAATACAGTGATATTCAACGATGAATAGATACAGTGCTACACAACGAAATTGATAGTGCTAAACAACCAAATTGATAGAGTGATATACAACCACATAGATAGTGATATTCAACCATAATAATAGTGATATTCAACGATGAATAGGTACAGTACTAAACAAAATGATACAGTCCCAGACAATCATAATGATAGTGATACACAACCATAATGGAACAGTGCCAAACAACCAATAAGAGATAGTGTTTACAACTTTGAAGACATAATGCTACCCACCTGACTCCACCGTTTCTTCTGTCTTATTTTTCGTGTGTCCTTTAGATGTACAATTAATGGATTCCCACCAGGCATGGTCCACTCAAGTCGACCACCATATGGGGTTTCAATTTTTTTCAGTGCCATCACTATATCAGGATAGTAACTATAACTGAAAAAAAAGTTACATGAACCTTAGATTTTACTTTAAAATAAGTTACATGAACCACAGAGTTTACTTTAAAATAAGTTACATGAACCTTAGATTTTACCTTATTATCTGACTGATTTCTTTTTATGTGGCTGTAATCTATTTTTAATCAATTAGTTTTCCCCATAAACCAAGCACAGAATGCTACAGATGTAACATAATATTTCATTTATTCATTTAAACTGTAAAAACTGAGTGTATATGTTTCAAAAATTGATGTGACTGTAGACAGTTCTTTATTATGTTCACATAAGTTTCTTTATCAGTAGAAAACCTCTACCTATTACAACATTGTACAAATGAACAATGAAAAATACATCTGTATAAAGGTTCATAAATAAACAACAAAATATAATACAACTAGAGAAAGAAAAAAGTCTGGAAAAAGCTTACTCAAAAACAGTTTAGAGTGGTGCTTGCTGAGAGAGGAAAACCTTTCAAAATCCAAACAAATCTACATTAAGCAAGTGATACATTTGGTGGAAAACAAAGAATGAGAATGGCAACAACTGTAAACATCTTTAATGAACGTTTTGGAATTACACATAATCTTCAGCAAATCTGTGAAGCTAACAAATATAAAAAGATTGTTCAATTTGTTATTTTCATAGATTTGCTGAAGGTGAAATATGTGTAATTCTGAAACATTCATGAAAGATGTTTAGAAATGCTGCCATGGCTCTACTATTCATTATCAATCTACATTAACTGTCAACTGTAATAAAAAAAAGGTGTATAAAAGTCATTCGTTTGGTATCTCATCTAACAACTTTGCTCACTAATAGGATCCAGAATATACCAAAGAATAGACTGAGAAACAAGCCTTCATAAATGCATATGTCATGAGTCTCAGTTGGCTACTAGACTATAGAAAATATATTTAAAACACTGTGAAACACACTCAGACATTAGGTTATAGAACAGATATTTAGAATACCATGGAATGTTCAGACACTAGACTACAGAACAGATATTTAGAATACCATGGACCATTTTCAAACACTAGACTACAGAACATATACTTAAAATACCATGGATAATGTTCAGACACTAGACTACAGAACAGATATTTAGAATACCATGGATCATGTTCAGACACTAGACTACAGAACAGATATTTAGAATACTATGGATCATGTTCAGACACTAGACTACAGAACATATACTTAGAATACCATGGATCATGTTCAGACACTAGACTCAGAACAGATACTTAGAATACCATGGACCATGTTCAGATACTAGACTACAGAACAGATATTTAGAATACCATGGACCATGTTCAAACACTAGACTACAGAACAGATACTTAGAATACCATGGACCATGTTCAGATACTAGATTAAAATATATGTTCTGTAGTCTAGTGTCTGAACATGATCCATGGTATTCTAAGTATATGTTCTGTAGTCTAGTGTCTGAACATTATCCATGGTATTCTAAATATCTGTTCTGTAGTCTAGTATCTGAACATGGTCCATGGTATTCTAAGTATATGTTCTGTAATCCAGCGTCTGAACATGATCCATGGTATTCTAAATATCTGTTCTGTAGTCTAGTATCTGAACATGGTCCATGGTATTCTAAGTATATGTTCTGTAGTCTAGTGTCTGAACATGATCCATGGTATTCTAAGTATATGTTCTGAGAATACCATGGATCATGTTCAGACACTAGACTACAGAACATATACTAAGTATACCATGGATCATGTTCAGATACTAGACTACAGAACATATACTTAGAATACCGTGGATCATGTTCAGACACTGGATTACAGAACATATATTTAGAATACCATGGACCATGTTCAAACACTAGACTACAGAACAGATACTTAGAATACCATGGATCATGTTCAGACCCTAGACTACAGAACAGATACTTAGAATACCATGGATCATGATCATGTTCCGACAATAGACTACAGAACAGATATTTAGAATACCATGGTCCATGTTCAGACAATAGCTTCTATTAACCAACCTGGTTTATAGTTAGAGTATGTTACTTCACCTCTATATAATACAGTAGTTCTCTATCGTTTTGCTCAAAAACTGTATGGTTATTTTATCATGGCAGATGACAGTAGGAGCTATACACTATGCCACTTAATTACACAACTTTAATCTGGATCATCTGAAAGAAAAGCATGGACCACAGCAGAATTCTAACCACTAGTCTGCAATATAAGATGTCATACAAAGCTATTTAAATTCTTTAAATTTATTGCTGACAACCTATAAAGTTTCAATGCTTTTGTATCTCACTACTAACACCTCTATTTCAAACTTTGGGAGTTAAATATAACATTATTCATATATTAAAATAAACTCCAGAAATTAATTTTGTATCTTTATGACACAAAAGAAAATTTAAACAGAACAGCACAAATTTCATGCTATATCAAAGTAGTGAACAACTGGTAAGGTATTATTCAATAGGGCATGCTTAAACTTTCACTTACTTGGCAGCACTTTTCAAAGAGTTTATCATGTTTTTCACATAACTGTTCATGAAAGTGATGTCATTTTCTTCATCATATACAAATGCATCATCAAAAAATATATGGGCTGGAAGAGAAAAGTCCAGTAACTGTTTCACAATGTTGGACCTCTACAAATCATTTCAGTTGTATTTTCAATTCAGCTGACTAAACACTGATTAAATCAAGATATAAAATATGAATGTTACCGATATACGAAATTTTCACCTAGCTAATAAAGAATGCTACAGACCTAGATAGCTCTCCATAATTAAAAATAATTATAAAAAAGGACCAGGTTTGCCAGAGATTATTCTTGGATTACTGACAACTTTCAAGATTATTCATAGCTTTCCACAAAACAAAAAAGCTTTACTAAGTCATTAACAAAGGGACGACTCATGTGTGTTCTTCATTAGGAAAGGGACATTTTGAGATATCTTCATCAAACCAAGGGCATTTCACGTTTATTCATGATTTCTTCATCAAAGGAGACTTGATACAACAACATTCTTGACCTTTGAATTAAATGAAGAATTTCAGGCATATTCGTGACATTTTAATTATGCAATAAATACTAAGTTCACGGAAAACATATTCATCATGTTAGGAGAATTCATGAACTCGTTATTAGGTAAGAAACTTTTTAAATTCATGCAGGAGAACTTCAACAAGTGTGGGTCATTTCAAGAATATTCATGAACTCTTTATTAGGTAAGTAACATTTCACATTCATGCAAGAGAACTTTAATAAGTGTGGGTCATTTCAAGATTATTCATGAACTCTTTATTAGGTAAGTAACATTTCACATTCATGCAAGAGAACTTTAACAAGTGTGGGTCATTTCAAGAAGATTCATAAGCTCTTTATTATGTAATTAACATTTTAAGTTCCAACATTAACTCTTAATCATGCTTTTTTGATATCTCTTTTTTTTTCAGACAAGAAGCCTTTTTAGCTCATTCATTAGATCTGTTTTGGGAAGGAATTTCAAACTCATGAATAAATTTGAAAGATTGTGACAATAACATAGTGTTCAGTTAGGTCATAGGTATATCTTGATAAAACAATTTTCCTGTTGCAAATGTACTAAAAATATTTAGTAAGTGTCCTTCCATTTAAATAAACATTTCAATATAATTTAGTATCATCCATATGCCTGAATAACAATTAGGATTTATGCAGCTTAGAAAGAGAATCTATATTTATGCAAAACAATAAAAGTAAATTAAAAAACAATGAAAATCACAATAACTCGAAATAGCTGTTTACATTGTTTGTTAAACTATTTGTTAATAAAACAAATACATTTTCCAGTTGCCTAACTGCATCTGTATACATAGTAAGCATAGTGTCCACTTATTTACACCTTAAACTCACAACAGTAACTTTGACCAGTGACATTTAATTTTTGATTCCAAAATATCTTTCAAAATAATAAATTCATTTACAAATATATTGAACTTACATGTACTTGGTTTATTTATTTTTTTTTACCTAAAATAAAACAAACACTTAATGTGGAATTGAACTATGGCTCAATGAAGTAAATACATGTTAACACAAGCTATTACGAGGAAAATGATGTTACATTCAGAGTCGTTGCTAGATGCTGGTGCACAGTGACCCAAATATATTTGGCGTCTTGATAAATCAGAATAGAAAACCATGATTAATATCATACTGAAATGCCAAACATTTCCTATGAGTTTGGGCTCAAGCCTTGGACCTTTTAAGCACCTAGCAACTTATCTGGTTACATGAACTTAACCTTCTCTCATTACCCAGCTAGAAACAAACACTGATACAGAACTGAATGCTCTACCCATGACTCAATACAAACTATCACAAGCTTTTCAGAGTTAATAGGTACTCATACAGTATATTTCATATTATACTATTATAAAACGTTATTAGCCTTTTCACGAATTTTAAAGGATCTGGAGATGAAAAAATAAATACCTTCAAACTCAAAATGGTCTGGGTGTTTGTATGCCATTTCTTTTATTAAAATTCTATACGTACACTGTTTCTTGTCTAATCTATAAAAAAAAAAGGCAAAATGAGAGAAACATAATATGACCATAATCAACACCTTCCTAATAGATACTTTAATACAACTTTCTTACTACTTGATAGATTGGAGTAACTGGGTCATTTTATGTGTTAA